TTACCCTTGTTATCCATGAGGGGAGAGACGGTTTCTATGAGCCTCATGAAAGGGCAACTCGTAGACGCAGCCAGTGTTCACTGGCCTGTAAGCTCCGCACTTTGGGAGGCTGAGGTTTTGGTAGATCATCTGAGGTCAGGAGTTGGAGAACAGGTCTGGCCAACATGATGAAACCCATCTCTACAAAAATACAAAATTGCGCAGGCTATGTGGCACACATGCTGTAATTCTCAGCTACTTGGGGAGGCTGAGGCAGGAGAACTGCTTGAACCTGGGAGGTGGAGGTTGCAGGGGGCCAGGATCGTGTACTGCACTACAGTCTGGGGGGACACAGCGCGGACTCGCTCTCAAAAAAAAAAAAAAAGGCCAATGGGAAGGAGTAGGGAGGGAAGGAAGGGGTAGGGGCTGCTGTACCTTGGTGGCCACATAGGGAACTGCCTGGGCCTGGCCAATTGCCCCCACTAGACTGGAGATGTTGATGACATTCCCTTGGCTCTTCCGCAGGTGGGGGAGGGCGAGCTAGGGAGACAAGAGGCCAAGTAAGCCACACAAGCCCTGCATCTCCCCAGACCACTGAAACACAGCCACAGCCATCCTGACGTCTGGGATGACAGCCATCTCCCTGGTGTGTTTGTAGTTGATCTCAGTGACTGCTAGAGACAGCATCTAATGTAACACCTTCTCTGGTTTGCCCTGGGGTCGCTGGGTCTGAACACTCAAGGAGTCTCTCGGTGGAAAGAGATTTCTCTCTCTTCTCCTGGGTCTTGTCTGTCTTTGTCTCTATCTCTGTTCCCCTCTCCCTTGGTCTTTGTATGTTACTCAAATTCCTGTCCATATCAAGACAGGAAAATGGATGAGAGATCCAGAAGGCTGCATATTTTTCAAAAATGGGATGAAGTTCTTTTCCGATGAAGTCCCTGTGGCCCAGGCTGGAATGCAGCGGCATGATCATAGCTCACTGCAGCTTCAAACTCCTGGGCTCAAGCAATCCTCCCCGCTCAGCCTCCCAAAGTGTCGGGATTACAGGCGTGAGCCATCACACCCAGCCAGGAAGTTCTTTTATCCATGGAGGGGAAGACGGTTTCTATGAGGCCTTCATGAAAGGCACTCTAGACCAGGCACAGTGTCTCATGCCTGTAATCCCAGCACTTTGGGAGGCTGAGGTGGGTAGATCATCTGAGGTCAGGAGTTTGAGAACAGTCTGGCCAACATGATGAAACCCCATCTCTACTAAAAATACAAAATTAGCCAGGCATAGTGGCACATGCCTGTAATCTCAGCTACTTGGGAGGCTGAGGCAGGAGAACTGCTTGAACCTGGGAGGTGGAGGTTGCAGGGGGCCAAGATCGTGCTACTGCACTCCAGCCTGGGTAACAGAGCAAAAGACAATAAAAAAAAAAAAAAAAAAAAGAAATGCACTGTTTCCTGCCACCTTCTCTCCTGCAATTCAATTCCCTGGCCACCTGGGAAGTCCCTAAATATACTCTCTCTCTCTCTCTCTCTCTCTTTCTCTGTGTGTGTGTGTGTGTGTGTGTTCATTGACTACACATGACCTTGGATAAACTCAAATTCTGTCTTTGATCTCACTTGCCTTGGGCAGCTGAGCTGGCCAGGCAAGGCCGGTTTTTGCCACTTAAGACGACTTGGTACGAGGCGGCACCCCTAGCAGGCTCTCCGAGTGGGAATCTAAATGAGTCCCCTCCAAAACGGCCTCCACCCTTTTCTGTGCTGTATCTTCAGACACACCTTGCCTGTTCCAGCCTCAGGGCCTTTGAACTTGCTGCTCTCTCTGCCTGGAGTGCCTTTTCCTAAGAGAGCCACAAGACCCACTCCTAGGGTGGCGAGCCATCCCAGTTTGCCCAGGACTGAAGGGTTTCCGGGGACACGGTATTTTCAGGCCACAGTGTCAATGATAAACAGGGACTGTCCTGGGTAAACACTCTCCCTCAGCTCCCTCAAACCCTGATCCGAGGTCACCTCTTCAGTGAGGCCTTCCCTGGCTATACTATTTAAAACTGCAGGCCGGGCTCAGTGGCTCATGCCTGTAATCCTTGTAGTTTGGGAGGCCGAGGAGGGAGGATTGCTTGAACCCAGATGTTTGAGACCAGCCTGGGCAACTTAGCAAGACCCTGTCTTTCTTTTTCTTTCTTTTTTTTTTTTTGAGATGGAGTATCGCTCTGTTGTCTAGGCTGGAGTGCAGTGGTGTGATCTCAGCTCACTGAAACCTCCACTTCCCAGGTTCAAGTGATTCTCCTGCCTTGGCCTCCCGAGTAGCTGGGACTACAGGCGTGTGCCACCACACCGGGATAATTTTTTTTTTTTTTTTTTTTAGTGGAGACAGGGTTTCACTATGCTGGCCAGGCTGGTCTTGAACTCCTGATCTCATGTGATCTGCCTGCCTCGGCCTCCCAAAGTGCTGGGATTCCAGGCGTAAGCCATGGGGCCCGGCCTGTCTTTATTTTTCTAACAAAAAAAATTTTTTTTTGTTTCGTTTTGTTTTGTGAAACAGAGTCTCACTCTGTCGCCCAGGCTGGAATGCAGTGATGTCATCTTGGCTCACTGCAACCTCCACCTCCCAGGTTCAAGCAATTCTCTTGCCTCAGTCTCCCAAGTAGCTGGGACTACAGGCATGTGTCACCATGCCCGGCTAATTTTTGTATTTTTTAGTAGAGACGGGGTTTCACCATGTTGGCCAGGCTGGTCTTGAACTCCTGAGCTCAAGTAATCTGCCTGCCTCGCCCTCCCAAATTGCTGGGATTACAGGCATGAGCCACCGCACCTGGCCCCAAAAAATAAAATTATAAAATAAAACTGCAGTTCCCATACTCCTGAGTCCCCTTCCCTCTTCCGGATGTCTTTTCTCTGTGTCACACACTCCCTTCTGACAGGCCATATATATTTTACTTGTTTGTTCATGTTCTGTCTCTCCCACCAGCACGCAGAAACCTATGAGAGACGGTCAAGATTTCTGAGTTTGTTTCTTTCCCAGCACTAAGGTGCCTGGCACGTAGCACACGCTTCATAAATATCCTTTGAATGAATGAATGAGTGAATTAATGAATGAATGGAGGACCTGGTATGTGTCCAGCCCTGTCCTCAGCAATTTACACGGATGAGCTCATTTCATCCCTCTAACATTCTCCCGTACCTACAAAGAGGAGGTACAGCTGAGAGTCCCATTTCACAAGTGAGAAGACTGAGGAATGGAGGGATGATTCACGCCCACAGGGCATCACATGACACCCGACAGAGCCAGCGTTTGCTGCTGGACGGGCTGAGGCCCAAACCCATAAACAAACAACAATTTCTCACAATTGTAAGTGTTAAGAACTTTAGGCCAGGTGCAGTGGCTCACATCTGTAATGCTAGAACTTTGGGAGGCTGAGGCAGGCAATCACCTGAGGTCAAGAGTTCGAGAACAGACTGGTCAACATGGCGAAATCCCACCTCTACTAAATATACAAAAATTAGCTGGGTGTGGTGGTGCGTGCCTGTAATCCCAGCTACTCGGGAGGCTGAGGCAGGAGAATCTCTTGAACCCAAGAGGCAGAGGTTGCAGTGAGCCACGTTCACACTACTGCACTCCAGCCTGTGCAACAGATAAAGACTATCTCAAAAAAAAAAAAAAAAAAAAACAGAAAGAAAGAAAGAAAAAGAAAAAGAGAAACCATGCTATAATATGAGCATGAATGATGTGGGCATTGACCAGCCTCTGGCCTTCTCCTCAGGGAACCCCCCTCACCCTCACCTCCTCTCACTTCCACCAGCTTTTGACGCCCTCCCTCCCTCCCAGTGCCCACTCCGCCTGCCTTGCTCCATTTCTCCCTCAGTCTGTGCACCTGCCCTGCCGTTTAATCTCCTCCCCCACCTGACCCTGCAAACGTAAGTCTCACCAGGGCGGAGACACGGTTCTTGCCACCCTCACCACAGCACGAGGCACACAGCTGGAGTTCATTAAATATTTGTCCCACACATCCTGAGTGTCCTTCCCCCAACACCCCTCAAGGTCGCTAAGCACCTGCTCTACATCAAGGACCTGCTGGTGGCCGGGTGCAGTGGCGGATACCTGTAATGTCAGTGCTTTGGGAGACCGAGGTAGGAGGATCACTTCAGCCCAGAAGTTCAAGGCCAGCCTGTGCAACATACTGACACCCCAGCTCTTAAGTGCCAAAGTTCTGAGACAGGAGCAGGCCTGCTGTGTTTGGGAGCAATAAGACCAGTGTGGCTGGAGGTGAGGTCACAGAAGAACAGGGGCCAGATCACGAGGACTTGAAAGCCCCCACTTCTCCCTTAGACAAATGCTATCAACCCCTTTTTTTTTTTTTTTTTGAGACGGAAGTCTCGCTCCTGTCGCCCAGGCTGGGTGCGGTGGCGCAATCTCCACTCACTGCAAGCT